GCTGTTGGTATAGTTCGTAGCGCTCCGGAAGGTATCGGGCGGCTTTCGGCAGTCTTATCAGATGCTTGTACAGAACTCGAGAGCATTCCATCGGCCGACAGGAGCGAAGACAAAAGATGCGCGGTTGTGTGTGAAGTGAATAAGGATGGAATCGTGATATTAGAGGTATCTCCTTTGGCGTACATTCGAACGAGGGCACCACCGCGCACGTCGTCACCCACTATAACAGCCGCTCCGCCACGTGATTGTGCCCACTGCACTTTAGCCAAAAATCCACAGCCTCCTCGCTTGAGGAGGACAACCTTGCCAGCGATTTCGGCACTCTCCTGAAGTGACTGGATATCGGCATGTTTGGATCCTGACGTCACGCGCGTGCCCGAGAGGCCTGATTGCAGGTGATCGTCTGTGCCATCGTCTGCAGTGGCAGTCTTAGTGTTGTCATCCTTGGCTCCACGGTTCTCTTCTTCTGAAGGCAAGTCTCTGTCCGGCATGACACTCTTTGCTTTATCCTTGACATAACCAAGTGGCCGTGAAGCGCTGATAAGGTCATCGCTGCCGTCTGGCCAACCCGGGACGTCGCTGCATCCTAACTCGCCCCCAGCACCTAATGTATCATCTCCAAAGCCACTACCGATCCATAGCGGGCCACTCAAGCCCTCTTTGGGTAGTGCCGGGCCAAACGCGGCAGGCCTGGCAAGGAAAAAAGTCGAGTTATCGTCGGTCAAACTGATGATGGCAGAAGGCGGAAACAAGGAGCTGGGCGACGTGAAGGAAAACAAGGCTTTGAAACTGCCCTGGTTCGATGCAACAGATGCTCGCTCCTGGGCTTCATCCTGTGATTTGCCTACTATCATATATAGAAGCAGCGTAACGGCTAATAGGGTGGTGGATAGCGACAGCAGCAGACGGAGTGGGCGCATGCTTGCGGAAGCAGCCGGCGGCGGCGGGAGAGGTGGAAAGCGACAAAAGCAGCAGAATGTGCTGAATATCTAGGAGAGTTGAGGCATCGACTGAGGTCAGGAGACAGACGCGACGTGGTCCCGTTTGAGGTGGGTCACGCGGGGCGGATCGAGAGTGAAGGGCAGGAAGCAATGGATGATGCGGTAATAACACACCCGCAGGCGGGCAGGTCGTCACTACTTGTGTGGCGCGAGGCGATAAATGGCGCACATGTGCACGAGGGTTTGTCGCAATAAGGGCAGATAGGCAGGAAACGGGCTGAGAAAAAAGAAGTGGACAAGGACGTGACTGGGAGTGAAAGACTGCAGGTGGCCGGAGCCCGATGATGTCGTGATGGTTCCGGGACCCTGGTGGAAACGCGCGTGATGGACGCCAAGCATGCTGCTCCCCGCAATCGACTATGCTGGAAGCGTCAGCGACACCAAAACACAGCGTCAGCCTTATCGTGTCTTCCATATCAGTAGATGAAGCTGGAGTTGTGCGCCAGAAGAGGACAACGTCACGGACGGGGTAAAAATGTCAACGCGTCTGCGACATGCATGCGGCTGCTGTGGCGCGCATCTCTTCAATGATGAAGATAAAGATGCGGTAGCCTTAGTATGACCGTCTATAGAGAGCAAGAGGTTCAAAAAGCCATTGCACAGACAAAAGGCGTCAAGGTGAGGTTGTTGGACATGTCCGCTCTGACTGACATTTACTTCTGGTCACTCCCTCCTCGTCGACATCCCCACATCGCTCTTGACTTTTACTTTCCTCAGAACTCAGCATCGACTGGCAAGCACGTCCGTTGACCCTCGACGTGCCTTCGACTTTTGCCCCTTCCCTTTCCTATCGTCCTATTATGCTGCTCCCGTCTTCTCCCTCGCTCGTTCAACTTTCGCCTTGACACCTCTCATACCTTCAGCTCCTCATACACCTAGTCCTATCGTCGGCTTTCAATCTTCCCTACAGCCCTGTTCCTAGTTGCTATATCCTCAAGCTTTACCTGCTCGACTGCCAATCTCAGCCCGCGTATCTCTCACCTACCTGACCTATCAAACATTCCTGATCGTACGTGTTCCGCTTCAGTCCCTCACAAATACGAGCTTACACTGGTATCCTTAAGTGGCACTCATGAACCACCAGCGCCCCTCGGAGAGCTTCATGGTCCTGCCAGGCATGAAGCCCAGGTACACAGAAGACCCCGACCGCCCCGGAGAGTCACGCCTAGCTGGTTTCGCATGGCTACCCAACAGGGCTCGCCACCTCTTCATCTCTTTCCTGGGGGAATTAGTCGGCACCTTCCTCTTTCTTTTCTTCGCCTTCGCAGCTACACAGGTCGCGAACAATCTTCGAGGTACCCGATCCATGGACGTTGGATCATTGTTGTACATCTCGTTAGCGTTCGGCTTCTCCTTGGCAGTCACTGTCTGGGTCTTCTTCCGCATCAGTGGAGGCTTGTTCAACCCTGCTGTATGTACCATCAGGCGTTTCAATTCGGAAGCAGCCGCTAACATGACCCAGGTCACCGTCGCCATGGGTCTTGTTGGAGCACTTGGCTGGATGAAGGTTTTGCTGCTGATCGTTGCACAATTACTCGGTGCCATCGCTGCTGCCGCTGTTGTGTCCGGACTGTTTCCAGGGCCACTGTCCGTGAACACCACCCTCAGCCGTGAAACATCTATCGCGCGAGGCCTGTTCATTGAGATGTTCTTGACCTTCATGCTCCTCCTTACCATCTTCATGTTGGCAGCGGAGAAGCATAGAGCGACCTTCATTGCCCCAATCGGCATCGGACTAGCATTGTTCATTGCTGAGCTCGCTGGTACGCGCCTGCCGACTCTGCCAGAAGACCCCGAAGCTGATACAAATAGGTGTTTACTTCACGGGAGGCTCCTTGAACCCAGCTCGTTCTTTCGGACCTGCCGTTGTTACTGGCGTATGGCCTGGACACCACTGGATCTACTGGTTGGGTCCCCTTCTCGGCGCCATCCTTGCAGTCATCTTTTACCGCCTGATGAAGATGCTTGAGTACGAGACTGCCAACCCCGGTGCAGACCACGATGGCCGTGAAGCATACCATGAGCATGGAGTTGGCAGGAGCTCTACTCAATATGAGGTCTCAGGTGGTGAGTAATCGGTGTTTCCATTAGGGCAAGACTGAACACTATACAGCCCGCCATGCGACTGACGGGGCCGACGAGCGTGAACAACTAAGGAAGTTGCGGTCCAGCTTCATGCTACCAACGATGGTTCAACGTCAACAGATGCCATGTCTGGACACAGTGTCGACATCTACAGGCATCGTCGAGAAGCCCGCGGCACCGATGCCAGCACACTTACAGATGTTCGACGGCCACCGATCCGACACTGTCAATCATCCCGACGACCGCCCACGTGCCCACCACAAGCGCGGCTCGTCGCAATACGAGATGTCATCCGAGTCCAGCTACCGCAACGGGCCGAGTGCGGAGTCAGGCAGCTCAGAGTCTTAGACCGGCTCATCAACCAGCTCGAGCTCGCGGTCTCGCCGTTCGCCAAGCGCATAGGATGACAAGTCGCCGAAGAAGGGTATCTTCGACGGCATATTCTACTGGCCTTGCTGCTTCTTGCCACACTTTATCCTCCAGGTCTGTTTCTGTCCTCACACGTAAATAGCCGCTGGTGCTTATCGGTATGTTGGGTGTTTGATGAAAGAGGCTGGGTATCGCGGTGATTCGCTACATAGGGTATCTCTTCTGTTCACCTATGGTTTAATACATCAATTTTCAACGCAGATCGAGGGTCTACACTTGAAATGCAGTTCCATTGCCCACGGTTTCTCTAATAGGGTCCATGGTTGAGCTCACGCTACGCCCGTTAGAAAGGTTTCTTGGCTTCAATTGATGGTGTCCGGGTCATTGACACAAATACCTACCTTGAGCAGATCTGATGGAAAGCCTCATGGTACGTCGACTATGAGTTGCATCCCAGATGCCGTCCCATCAGCTTCAGTCGGTTGGGCAGCCTCTGCATCCGTCCCTCGAAGGGGCTACAAAAGCACTTCTACACACCATAATGTCTCTGGAAGATCTTCATGAGGGTCGCATGACGCAACCTCGCCAGTTTCATTGTTTCTGGCTAGTCAATTCATGGCAATGTGCAAACTGCGACGTCGACGTCGACGCGCCAGTCCCTTCAAATGACGACTCCCACACACTATGATCGTGAACAATTGAATGTTGCAAATGTTGTTACGCCCCTCTTTCCAATGAATTTAGTGGAGGGGTAATTGACAAAGCGTTCTTCTTTCGCCAACTGAGGAGAGATGGTAGAAGATGGTCTACTTCTCCACTCGCAGTAAATGTGGCGATGATGAGGCTCAGGACTTTGCGATTTGCCAAAGTCCTAGCAGCCCGTTCCTTCCTTGGTCTTCACCCATCACGTCTTTACGTACCATGCAAAAACATGAGAAACTCTTTCATTGTGTTGCTATCGACTTTAGTATACACAGTCCATTCCACCTGGTATACCACTCCACCGTCGCTCGCCTCCGTCGAGAGGAAAATCGTCGTTTCGTCGTCGCAAATGGGTGCGGGCGCGGGTGCGCGGTATGTTCGAGACACCGACCAGTTTATTGAATCAGAGATGCCGTCAAAGCGTCCGTTATGTAACAAGGTGTGTGTGCCGGACGCGGAAGTCATGCGGCCACATCCACATCTACCAGCGAACCACTTGAGCCTCCCGAAAGAGGAGAGTTCAAAGGCGGATGTGGAGAGCCGCTCAGCTGATACACGCTAGGCTTTCATCATCTAGTCGTTCTGTTAGTATGCGCGCGACAGTCAAAATGGCGTCGCAAGGTGGCTTACATGTTATAAACTGGAGGGATAGCGAGAGGAAGTGGGTGTGGGTGCTGGAAAGCTTTTGAAGCTTCTGCAGCGTGGTCTGAGCGGACGCTACCCCGTTCTGGGCATGGTCTTGATGGTGGCTTGGCGCGTCGTTGAGACATGGCTGCTTGCTTCTCATGGATGTCAAAGACATTTCCACAATTGTCAGGGCTTGGTTTACCATTGCGACTTACTATGAGTCTTTTGCGCGCTTCCCGGCACGTAGTGACTCGGGAGAGTAGCATTCGCAGCTCCTACGCAGAAATTTCCAAATTTCGTCGCACATCTTATCACGGGACCACGCCAAAGTGTGTACGGTCATCCTTAGGATATGCATACCGGAACTTCGCAAGCTCACATGATTCTACGCCCGATGATCATCTGAAGAAAACTCTCGACGAATTCAAGGCTACCAGTGGGTTTGCAACACCTTTGCAGAGCCATGCGCTTACCAGATTGCAGTCCGTCCATCCTCCTGGGATTCACTGAACTCAGTATGGGCAAATGCACAGCACATACACTACCCTCCTGGGGAACAGGTTGAACTCGTTGGCTACATCAGTACAAGACGGGATGTCAGCCAGAAGCTCTCCTTCACCATGCTCCGAAATAAAAACCAAACATTGGTTATCCAACTTGTCTCAGGGGAAGGAGACGGTGGATCCAGTGGAACAGATGCACATGCCTGTTTACGATCGTTGAAAGAGTGGACTCCTGTTCTTGTAAGAGGAACGCTCAGGGAGCGTCCACAAGCCAGGCAACAGTTAATCGACGGCATCAAGTTGATCGGGGCTCGCGAGGTTGCTGTGGAGCACGTGCAGCCCCTCAACGACATATCAGAAGACATCATCATCAAGAATGACACAGTGTTTGGTCCAGATCAACGGCATCTGCAGCTTCGCACAGACAGAGAATTGCGCGAGGATATCTTGACGCGGGCGAAAGCCATGACGCGGGCAAGATTGCACCTTAACTCGGAGCAATGGAGGGAGATTGAGACGCCCATACTTTTCAAGTCGACACCTGAGGGTGCAAGAGAGTTCCTCGTACCAACACGACAGAAGGGCCTAGCATACGCATTACCACAAAGTCCACAGCAATATAAGCAAATCTTAATGGCCTCCGGCATCACGAAATACTATCAATTTGCGCGGTGTTTTCGAGACGAGGACTTGAGGGCTGATAGGCAGCCAGAATTCACTCAGGTCAGTACCATGCCCTGCACTACCAAGCCGTCGCTAATCATGGACCAGCTCGATATGGAGATGTCCTTCGCTAACGAGGAAGATGTCATGAACGAAACTGAGGATCTTCTCAGAGAGCTCTGGTATAAAGTTCTGAAGCCTTTTGAAAAGTTACCGGCAAAATTTCAGCGAATGAAATATCAGACTGCGATGGCTCACTACGGATCTGATAAACCGGATCTACGGTACAAATCAAAGGTAGGTTAAGATGCTGTAATATGATCACTGTTTTCAACTAACGGCGCGTAGATACATACCATCACTGAGCATCTGACACCAGATTTGATAGGAAAAATCACCTCGCTACAGGATCCGGCAGTCGATGCCATCAAGATTTCAATATCTGAGGATCCCAAGGTTACCCGCAAATTCGTTTCCAGCTTCCTCGACAGTCCAGATGGGAAGATATATCTGGACAATCCGGACGGCCAACCAGGTATCTTCATCGGGGATCTGTCACAGCCCATGCAAGGTCTCGGACCTTTAGGCCGCCAGTACGAGATGGAAGGTCCCGAATCTTTGAAGCCAGAGAACGGAGACCTTCTCATTCTCCAAGCGCGTCCCAATGTACCATTCTCTGGTGGCTCAACCATGCTGGGAAACTTGCGTCTTGCTCTCCACAAGGCAGCTATAGCGCAAGGCCTAGTGGAGGCGCCGGCGAAAGACGACTTCAAATTTGTCTGGATCACGGACTTTCCACTATTCACACCATCGAGTGACAGCGAACCAGGTCAAGGCGGCTCCGCAGGCTTCTCATCGACCCACCACCCTTTCACTGCCCCAAAGCTACCCGAAGACGTTGACAAGCTACTCACAGATCCTTCTTCCGCGGTAGCAGCGCACTACGACATTGTCCTCAACGGCGTCGAACTTGGTGGCGGTAGTCGCCGTATTCACTCCGCCGCCATGCAAGAGTTCATCTTCAAGGACATTCTCCAGATGAAGCCTGAGCGTGTGGAGGACTTTAGACATCTGCTCAACGTATTGAGGAGCGGATGTCCACCCCATGCAGGTATTGCGCTGGGATGGGATAGGCTAATGGCTGTCATGTGTGGACGAGAGAGCGTGAGGGACGTCATTGCTTTCCCGAAAAGTGGGCGAGGCGAGGATCTGTTGGTCAAGAGCCCGAATCGGATGACCGATGAGCAGTTGGCTACGTATCATCTGAATTTGAGAGACTAGGTCGAGAGGTGGACTTGTCAAATGTACGATAAAGATTTTGAATATGTATTAGTACTGACCGGTGCATGAGCCATATGTCGATTAGGTTATAAAGTTCATCACTCTATCTGTGCCGCTCCGTGTACGAATTGTGGAGCCTCGGCAATCTTCGCTGTAAGGCACCCTGAGAATGAGTAAGATAACAATAATGCTAGATAATAAGTTGCAGTCGGGCGAGGAACACTGCAATACAGTCATACCCAAAACGAGTGTGATAGGCTGTCGATCCTGGGAACAGCTTACATTGCTTCGTTACACGAAAGGATAACTAGCGCTTACCTCGGGGTAAATGTCCCTCTACGGAAAACTGAACAACAGTATTGATGGTGAGATGCCCGTTTGATGTAAGAGCTAGGTATTTTCATTTTGCACTACGGTTGATATCGTGCAATGCATGTAGGGCAAGGCTGAGGTACCGGGACAATGGAGCTCGAATATGCAATGCAAAGCTTTTGGATATTAATCATGATGCGATATATAGCGACATGCACCCACTATCAGCTGTCAGAGAAATATCTCCTAGTCTTGCGTGAGCCCATCGTCGCTCAATAGCCACCAGTTTTTTTCCACTACCAATATGGCACAGCCCGAGTTCCAGATACCTGAAGAATATGCATCGAAAGTGACCCGAGTCGAGTCCAAGGACAAGCGCACCGATGCTGAGATCTTAAACACCTTAACGACGCATGTGCCTATCACTTCTGAGAAGAATATCTGGGCCTACTGGCATGCCGGCGTCCAGAACATGCCCAAGTGGACACAACGCAACATCATCAACTGGGTGCGCCTCCATGGCCCCGAATGGACAGTCCGCGTGCTCGACACAGTACCGGACTCACCGAATCACGCATTGACTTGGATCGCGACTGAAGATCTTCCGGAAGCATTCGTAAAAGGTACGATGACGGGTCCATACGTAGGGCCTCATAGCGCCGACTTTCTGCGCGGCGCAGCACTGTACACGTACGGCGGAGTGTGGATGGATGTTGGATGTATTCTTTTCCGCCACCTCGATAGCGTGTGCTGGGCCCAGCTTGCGGACGACACGAGTCCGTTTAGTGTTGCTGCGCCACTGATATACGGTCAATTTATTGCGAATCACATTGTGGCGTCTCGCAAAGGCGACGAGTTCATCAAGAATTGGTGCGTTGACTCACTGATGCATCCGTAAGATGATCCACTATACTGACTTTGGACAGGCATCTGATCTTCTTGGAGCTGTGGAAAGGACGCAATGACTATTCCGGCGTATGTCAGTCGCCCCTGATTAACTTCATCCAGAAGTTGGATTTCGAGGAACTGGCCGAGGCGGGGTATAGGTGGGATTGGAAATTGGATGTGCAGACTATCATTGGATACATTGGACAAGTCTTCGCCTGGATGCGCTTGACGTGGCTGCAGGAGCCCAATGGCGGCTTCGATGGCGTCAACTACTGGGCTAAGAAAGTCTTACTGTGGAATGCGCTTCCTGAAGACTTCCCTGCTGAGACAACCATCGGATTCGATGGCGCGGATATTCTCAGGTTCTTTGCTACGAGGCTAGACGCTGATGGAGATGACGCAGGACATGAGAAGGCGAAAAACGCAGCGTGGAACATGATAACACAGAGTGTGATGCAAAAGATCACTCATGGTAAGGAGCTGTGCCATAAGCCTCATTGTGGTACGTTGCTCGACCTTCCGGAAAATGAAGGTAAGGATATGGCGCCGGGCACTTTCGGAGAGCTGCTGCGTTACGGGAGTGTGCACCTGGAGCAGACGAGAGAGATGCACTATATTGAGGCAGCTGTTGTTGAGTCCGAGTTGATACTTCGGAAAGGACTCCTAGAGGCGTGAACGGGAAGTGCACGTGTCTTGAAAATCTAGGCGGCGATGAAGTAGCCTATTCGATGTCCTCGTGTCATCAGTAATCAACGTAGAAAACCTGAGTATTGTTGAATGCCCAGATTGAGGCAGTGCAAACGATAGACTTCCAGGCTTCATAACAAGACCTGTGTTCAGATGAGCAGGTAATCCAGACCATCAGCTCGGCGGCGACAAGGGGTCAGTGCGCGTGATGACATCACACCTTCCGTCTATGGCTTCTCCGAACATAAGCCAAGACAGGTACGCTTGTAAATCGCGCTTCCTCTCCGCCGCCAGCAGGCTTGGGAGACTATTGCCATCTGGGAGAGCTGTCTGAGTCTCGACAGAGGACGGCGGCTCCGATTACGAAGATGTTACGCCACAGTCACAGGCACAGCCACTGCGCCACAGATCCAGCCACAGGAAGGGCGAGGGCTGTACCAGGCTGCCCTTTTGCCCTTCGATGACGTTTCAACGGGTTGTATACGCTCGAATCGTCCCTTATCGTAAAGTCGCTAAGATGCCGGTCTTAGTATCGCTCTTGTATTGCTGAAGATCTGGAGAAGAGAGCGGAGCATGCGACAAGTCGCAATCGCAATAAGACCGATCAGGCTGTTACCAAGACAAGGCAGATTCGGTCGAGCGCATACACAGGTGTCACTGGTAGATTCCTATTGGAGCGATCCGAGACTGGCCTCAGGCTTTCGTGCACATCTGGTCGTCTCTTTCATCCAAGACGACAAAGAGACATGAACGGCTCGGTGTCTTGTCTCCTGGATGCAAATGGCAAAACATGATGCAGTACTGTGCAAGCTGTGCAGGCTGTGCATGTAAGAGATTTCGATGTTCTGACGATTCGAAGCTGGGCGGAGAATTTCGCTACTACTTCTCCTTTGTCGCCTTCAAAGAATGGTAAAAAAAAATAGGCATGAATCGATTGACACCCCAGCAGCAAGACATCCTCAAGCAAACATGTTATGTAGATACCGACAGAGCTGGAAATCATGTAGAACTAGGCCCAATGCGGTTTGGATCACGGCAAAGCCTCAGTGGCGCCCGAGTGGCGCAGTTTAAGCCCTGCTAGCCTCACTTCGATCTGCACCGTAGGCAGCGAAGCGATACTCAATCGTAACTTCAATCTAACGGCCATTCTCTGTCGCCATCTTGTTTCCCTTCCAACAATTTCCAGCGGTTGTCCGTAGCGACGCGATGGCAGCGGAAGGTGAGGGTCTCCGCGCTTCATTGCGCTCGGATGGGGTCTGCACTGCCCCCTTTCCAAGACCGCCGGACTCTTGACACCCGCTCATCTCGCTATCAACAACGTTAGTCGCCAAAAGAATCAAATCTCGCCTCGCTTGGCGACGAGTGTACAGCTGGACCGTCGATGCGACGTACGCACAAGGCTATGCTCTCGTAGATTCTACCAAGGTTTCAACGTTCAGATGTCATCTGCGCTGAGAAGGCGAAAAAGCGCCGCGGTATTATCATTCCTTAGGAGCCTACTATTTGCCAAGGGAGGCTCTGGCAAGAGACGTATCACACCGAGTGGACTAATATCGCGCACCAAGCGCCTGGCAGTCTTGGATGAGGTCCACACTTACACAGCCCGGCTCTTGAGTATAGGTATGGCGACTGGGGATGCGTCCTTCAGCTTATTAGAATCCAACCCTTACTCTACCGTCACGTAAACACAACCTCGTGCATTACAACTTGTAGCTACATTTCTCGAGTATTTTCATCGTAGCATCGTTATTTTATCATCATGGAGTCCGGCAAACTTGCCCCTCCGACACTCCAAATCAACACGAGACAGCGTGCGCTGAGTCAGGCTGACACTGTCACTTCGCAAACATCAGACCCATTTCGGACGCCGATATCGCCGAGTAATGCGTCCACAAGCGGTGTATCTACAGTAGTGGGAGACTACGATGCAGCGTTGCAACAGGAGTTGCGCGCTGAAGCGGCAGCAGACAGCAACAACCCGTTCGCGTTCACTCCATCACAACTCAGCAAGCTTCTGAACCCCAAGTCACTTGCTGTTTACCAGGCTCTCGGCGGCATTCATGGCATCGCAGCTGGTCTACAAACAAACATTCACACTGGTCTCAGTGCCGACGAATCGACTGTTCCCCGGCATATCTCCTTCGACGAAGCAACGAATCCCCAGACACCGACCAAAGAGAAAGAGTCAAGTCGACCGCCAAGCAATGGAAAGCCATTCGAGGATCGAATCCGCATCCACGGACGAAACGTGCTGCCACCGAAGAAAGTCACTCCTCTATGGAGATTGATTTGGAATGCTTACAACGATACGGTGTTGATCGTTCTTACTGTTGCAGCGGCGATATCCTTGGCCCTTGGACTGTACGAGACTTTCGGTGCAGAGCACGAACCAGGCGCCCCAACGCCTGTTGACTGGGTTGAGGGTTGCGCGATTGTCGTGGCAATCGTTATTGTCGTGCTCGTCACAGCTGTCAATGACTGGCAGAAGGAAGCAGCCTTTGCAAAGCTCAATGCAAAGAAGGAACAACGCGATATCAAAGTTACTCGATCTGGAAGGACGGAAATGATCAGCATCTATGATGTTCTGGCAGGAGATATCATTCACATGGAGCCTGGAGACATCATTCCCGTCGACGGTATCTTCGTAGACGGCTCCGACGTCAAGTGCGATGAGTCCTCTGCTACGGGAGAATCTGATGCCATGCGAAAGGCTCCAGGTGCTGCCGTCATGAAGGCGCTAGAATCCGGACAGCCGGCAAAGAACCTCGATCCTTTTGTCATCTCTGGTGCAAAGGTGCTTGAAGGCGTCGGTACCTTCATGGCAACTTCGGTTGGAGAGCACAGCAGTTTTGGCCAGATCATGATGTCTGTCCGCGTAGAGATCGAGGCTACACCACTCCAAGAGAAGCTAGGTAAGCTCGCTATGGCTATTGCCTATCTCGGAACCACAGCTGCAGGTATATTGTTCTTCGTCCTTTTGTTTCGCTTTGTTGGTGGACTCTCTAGCAACAATGACAGCGCGTCGGAAAAGGGCTCAGCCTTCATGGATATCCTCATCGTCGCTGTTACCATCATTGTGGTTGCAGTGCCTGAAGGTCTTCCATTAGCCGTAACATTGGCACTGGCTTTTGCTACAACCAAGATGTTGAAGGAGAACAACCTGGTCAGAATCCTACGGGCATGTGAGACCATGGGAAATGCCACGGCTATCTGCTCTGACAAGACTGGTACTTTGGTAAGTGCTATACAAAAGCTCGATGCGAATACAGACTGACATCTCCAGACAACCAACCGAATGACTGTCGTCGCCGGCACGTTTGGCACTACCAGCTTCGTACACGCTGACTCCGCCAACTCGGACAAGGACCAAACCATTTCAGCATGGGCATCCCAAGTTTCATCGGCTGCGAAGCAGCTTCTCATCCAATCTATCGCGATCAACTCGACTGCATTCGAAGGCCAAGAGGATGGCAAGCCAGTCTTCGTCGGTTCCAAGACCGAGACTGCGTTGCTTGAGCTCGCCAAAGACCACCTTGGACTCGTCTCTCTATCCGAGACTCGTGATAACGAACAGGTCAAACACATGTTTCCTTTCGACTCGGCGAAAAAGTGTATGGGCGCTGTAGTCAAGCTTCCGAACGGCCAGTACCGCCTTGTCGTCAAAGGAGCATCCGAGATCCTTCTCAGCTTTGCATCCGAATTCGCGCATTTCGAGACCCTTGAGTCGGAGCCGCTTTCCGAAGAACACCGCCAGGTATTGACCGATACAATCAACGCGTACGCAAACAGATCCCTCAGAACCATCGGTTTAGTCTACCGCGACTTCCCACAATGGCCACCGGCTAATGCCGTACTCACCGAAGGTGGCAGTGTCGACTTCGCCTCCCTATTGCGCGATCTTACATTCTTCGGCCTTGTCGGAATCCAGGACCCTGTGCGCCCTGGTGTGCCTGAGGCAGTTCGCAAGGCACAGAAGGCCGGTGTTACAGTGCGCATGGTTACTGGTGACAACATGCAAACTGCACGAGCGATTGCTACTGAATGCCTCATCTACACTGAAGGTGGCTTGGTGATGGAAGGACCCGACTTCCGCCGCCTTTCTACCGAACAGCTTGACGAGATGCTGCCCCGCTTGCAGGTATTGGCCCGTTCTTCGCCCGAGGACAAGCGTATCCTGGTCACTCGACTGAAGGCCCTTGGTGAGATTGTTGCTGTTACTGGTGACGGTACCAACGATGCTCCAGCACTCAAGGCTGCCAACGTTGGATTCTCCATGGTGTCCGGCACTGAGGTCGCCAAGGAAGCATCTTCGATCATTCTCATGGACGACAACTTTTCATCGATCATCACTGCTTTGATGTGGGGACGAGCTGTCAATGATGCTGTGCAAAAGTTCCTCCAGGTAAGTTGCACTCGATGTACCTTTCCAATTTCCCCTGCTAACAAGAGTAGTTCCAAATCACCGTCAACATCACCGCAGTTGTTCTCGCATTTGTCACCGCGGTGTACGATGACGAAATGAAGCCCGCACTGCGAGCTGTTCAGCTCCTCTGGGTTAACTTGATTATGGATACCTTTGCTGCACTCGCGCTCGCTACCGACCCGCCGACCGAGAAGATCCTTGATCGCCCACCACAGGGCAAGGGCCCTCTCATCACGACAACCATGTGGAAGCAGATCACCGGTCAGAACATCTACAAGATCACAGTCATCTTTGTGTTATATTTCGCTGGTGGCGATATCCTCGGCTACGATCTATCGGACCCCAACAAGCAACTCGAGCTCGACACTGTCATCTTCAACAGCTTCGTTTGGATGCAGATCTTCAACATCTTCAACAACAGGCGTCTCGATAACAAGCTTAACGTGCTTGAGGGTATACTTCGCAACTGGTTCTTCATTGGCATCGTCGTCATGATCATTGGACTACAGGTTCTCATTGTGTTCGTCGGTGGCCGCGCATTCCAGATCAAGCCCGGTGGTATCGATGGCACGCAATGGGCTATCAGCATCATCACTGGTTTCGTTTGTATCCCATGGGCAGTTCTGATCAGATATTTCCCTGATGAGTGGTTCGCTGTTATCGCGCGCGTCGTCGGCAAGCCCGTTGTAGTGGTCTACAGGTGGTGCTGCAATGGCTGCCGCAAGATCAAGGGCTTGTTCACCAGAAACAAGAAGACTGAGGATGTTGATGCCGAGGCTGGTCCTGCGCCAGCGATCGTCGTAGTTGGTGACGATTCGAGCGTATCGGAGAACAGGAAATGAGTGTAACAATTACGAGGTGGCATAGATTGAGAACTTGTACGATACTAGATTAGATGAGACATGATACCCCAGAATTTCAATAATATCTCTTTGCAGCCATCGTTACGTGCTTTCGCAAATGTATACAAATATAATATACGTTATGATCTTCTATACCTAAAGCTCTTGAACTATCTACAAGATCAACCAGGCGGCTTGAATGATTGCGCGCACGGGATCGATAGAACCCGGAGGCTATGATGTAGTGAGCGTTTTAAGGCTGAACACCTCAGTAGACACAAGTCGAGAGTCCCTCCTTTAGCCTAGCCGCAGCTCAAGCTTTTGTGCTTCATCTTGAGATCGTGTTTTCATGAGGAATGTCGAGATGCATTTAGCCAGACACCAGGATAATGTCGTTCCGCCCACATGCGGGAACTTCCCCTCGTCTGCTTAATATTAAAGCGTACATGATCCTCTTTTCAGGCGATGACGGTCACCGTAAGTACCTTAAACGCAGTGTTAGAGATGGTTGAGACCCTCATTATGTATCCTGGTGACGATATAGAAGTGCTGCAGCCGAGGAAGCATCGCGCTCAAGTATGGGCGAAGTGCTTGTGACTATATCGACGAGCAAGCAACGCCAGATAACATACTCACGATAGCTAATATCCATAACATATTGAGAGATTCCCTCGTAGCCGCGACAGCACCACTAGTGAACTGTGTCGAGTCACTGGTGGAAGTACTTGTCGGTTGTCCAATTCCGAGAGTACCACCGTTATTGAAGCCCGCAGAGGTGCTGCCCACGGTGCTGGTCGAAGTGATGAATAATGAGCCCTCAACTACGACGACAGGCGTCTCTCCTGGAGTGAGCGAGATATCGATGCCATTAATCGTCGTCATAGCACCGGGCATCAGCGTCTGACCATTTGGGAGCAGCAAGCCTCCTCCAACAGTAGCGGGGATGAAAGAGTATCCAGAAGGAAGCGCCCCCGCGGTGATGGTCATACCTCCAAGCACAACATCGCTCGGTGATGAAGGAAGTGATATAGTTGTAGTACCAGCGATGATTACTGAATTGTCGCGTGAGATTGTCATGGTGCCAATGACGGTTACCTCGCCCGCCTCAAGTTCTGAAGCGAGCTCGCCTAAATCCAAAGTCGTCTCGCCCACGACCACCATGGATGCGATAGACATTTGCGTCACTCCAAGCAGCGGTATAGTCTTGGTTCCTCCAATGACCACGTTGGAAGCCGAATCGTCCAGCGAGATGGGAATACCGTTGACGGTAGTTACCTCTCCTGGGTCTAGTTCGGTAGCAATCTGGCCGACGTCAATGGTCGTGCCACCAATTACCACTGGCGCTGGTCGAGGCGCTGGAGTTGATGGAGGGATACCAACTGTCCGAGTACCATCTATGACGACGAATGTAGCAGAAGTGTCGAATGAGATCGGAATGTCGTTGATAGTTGTCTGTTGTCCTGGCGTGATCGCGCTTACGACGCCGCTAACGAAGATGGCTGAATGTGATGGATCTATTACAACAGGGCCGATACCTGGCAGAGTCGTGGTTCGAATCTCCTCTGGGATCGAGGTCGTTTTGGTAGTCGGAGGTTTAGCTGGCGAGGTAGGCAATGCACTGGGAGGTAGCCCAGGACCTCTAGATGATCTTTGCACTGGATCGCCAGCTGTAGGTTCAGGTAGACCAGGGGAAGTATCCTGAGGTAATGCGGGGATGCTTGGTTCTCCAATGGGAGCATCTGTGATTCCTGGCTCTGTCGGCCCGGTAGGGATGGCATTCACAGTGCTCGTTTTAGTAGAGTCAAAGACGGCCGGGTCGGGATAATCGGTAATGAACAGTGTTGAAGCAGTAAGCATGGTACTAGTGAGAGTGATAGTGACTCCGGTTGTCCCAGGTAATGTCACGACATCAGTTACCGTGACGGCTGAGGTCAATGTCGGGCAGAATGTGGGTGGCTTCGTAGGTGTTGGCGTTATGGCCAGAGAACTGTTCCGGTAAGGGGACGTTCTAAGGTAAATTAGTAAGCTCCTGGTTTATCCTTCAAACACGTACGTGAAGGATGCTGCAACGTTACTTGTCGCTCTCTTCTCGAAAGATACACCGGTCGTGACATCCCGTCTTTCGGTACTGGTCAATGTCGTCCCGTTGCGCAATGGGGTAACGTGAACAGTAACAGTGGTTGAGTACCCCGTCACTGTGAATGGAACCAATGAAGTACGTGTGATGTCTCCAACAGTGGCTGATGTATCAGTCGAGGTGTAGGTGATCGTGATGATGCCAGTACAATCTGATGCTGAAGGTGCGAAGCGAGCGATGTTTGCGGCAAGACTGAAATCTGTATTACATGAGTCCATTGGGCCTAGAGCATATTCTACTGGTCCGAGAGCTACCTGTGAAGAGAACAGCGGCAAGAATAGTCACCCTCATTGGGTACTGTATGTACATGCTAATCAAAGGCCACCACAAAGTTGAGAGCGCAAGATTGTAGTGGAGGTAGATTTTGTGTTAAGCGAACGGCGATGATTCAGACGGAAGTAAAGTGAGTATTGCAAGCGGCAGATCAATTGTGGTGATTTTCATGCCGCGGTCTCAGGAACGGGTCTGAAGTCCAACGTTCCCCAACCTCACGAACGGCCCCCAATCGTAGTCTCGGCACTCTTGTCCTGGTTGGTCAGATTCAGCCCCATTGTCTCGATTCGGAAACGTACAATAAATTTTGATTGCTCGGCAGTGTAAACGGTGTAGAGCCCTGCAAGGCCCACCAATCATCTCCTTACATTTTTAGTTGTAGGAAGATACGGTCAGCCACAACAGCGTAGTGGGAATCAAGTACGAGCGCCCCAATGCATGTAGGAAACCATCTTTCCGGAATTACCTTCGATCTCTTACACATGTAAGCCAGCATACTCGAGATCAGCCGAGATACCTTGACAACATGGCAAAAGCGCTGTCGCTGGCTGCATCTGGAGGCTGGCTCGGTAATGATGGAAGCTGGTCAACGTACACCCCCTATAGGCTTCAGAACTACCCCAGGTTTATGCTGACTAAAGTAGGTTCCTCGTTGAAGTGGGAACACCAGCACAAAGTTTCGCGGTATTACCAGCAATTCAAGCTCAGAATGTATGGCTTCCAGTTGCCGATGAGTGCATCAGATTGCAAGGTGCCTCAGCTTCCTGTGGCGGCTCTCGCGGAGCGTCTCCTTTCCAACAACGTCATAGTCCTGGGTTTCAGGCGAACATGTCGTCAACCTGGAAAGCTATCGGCCTTTATGAACTTGGCTTAGGGAGGAACTATGGAATCAATGGGAATGGCCTTTCCGGATTCGATAATGTTGGAGTTGATGGCTTCACGATGGAAAAACTGGCAATCACCGCATATGCCTCACCTGGCTTCTGGGTCGGCCAAATGGGGCTGTTGCCATTGCCATTAAATTTCTCAGAGACGATCAATTCGCCATCGCTGATATCAGCTCTCAAAGACGAGGGTCACATACCAAGTCTATCCTACGGATATCAGGCTGGTGCCCAATACCGCGGAAGAAAAGTACCTGCAAGCCTAGTACTTGGAGGTTACGACCTTTCGCGCTCTTCCGAGCCTCTCACAATCGACATTAATATCGTCGACATGGCCAAAGCTCTCACAGTAGGGCTTCAGGACATTATAGTGACCAATACACTCAACGGCACGCTCTCGATGGTCGACAATGAACGAATACTCGCTCCGATCGACTCGTCAATTCCTGAAATTTGGCTCCCAAAGTCAGTTTGCGATCGCTTCGAGTCCGCTTTCGGCTTGGAGTACCACGATGGGACCGGCAGATACGTCCTCACGGATCAGGCCAGGGATCGCCTTCGTGAGCTTAAGCCGACCCTAACGTTCACCATCGGTGCTGATGCCGTGACGGGCGGTAACACCACGCTGATTCAGATTCCATATGAAGCTTTCGATTTGCAAATTGGATATCCCATCTTCGCAAACGCAACGAACTATTTTCCAATTCGAAGAGCAAATAACGAGAGTCAGTACGCGATCGGCAGAGCATTTTTGCAAGAAGCTTACATCGGCGTGGATTTCGAATCTGGTATCTTCAATGTCAGTGCTGCCAAGTGGGACAACCTGGAGCCAAACATTGTAACGATCTCGAACAAAGAACGTGATTTAGGAACCGCCCGAGGGGGCTTGTCCGGTGGTACGATTGCTGGCATTGTCGTTGGCTGCGTAACGGCAATACTGTTGTGTATCGCGGGCACATGGCTCTTCGTGCTGAAACCGAGGCGAAGGCGAAGGCAAACCACAGCGCTGGATGAACCAGATGAGAAGATAGCTCGAGACGCGCTGCACTCAGCTCCAGAGCTGACAGGTACCTCCGTCCATGAGTTGCCAGCAAAGCACGGCCATCACGAACTCGGCGAGATGAAGATGGTACCTGAGCTGGGAAATGAAGAGCTTGTTCATGAATTGCCTTCGGAAGGCGGTCGGTGAGACTGAAGTACTAATGGCACGTGTAAGATGAGGGCGCGACAATGACGAATGGCGCTAGTGATTAGCCTGGCGCGCTCAAGTTTTGGTGCGTCGGCTCCGCATCACTTCCTCTGGTCAGTAGTCCAGAAGCAGACGCTTTCTTTGTCTTAAGTTGTTTCCTCGATACAATTGCCATGTGCACTACTTCCTCGCCTTGTTGCGCGCGCGAGTAGTAATTCCTCATTATGGTCGCCATAACCGGTCACCCTCATATGGCGTCCCTCCACTCGACGTTCCAAGGCAGGAGTAGGTGCCGCTCACGTCTCATCACACAGGATGGAGAGTGACGACGATCTCAAAAATGATGAAGATGCGGATGTTATGCCAGAACGAGCAACGGAGAAAGCGGAAAACCCTCCTAACTTCCTGGCTGGGCTTGAGTATTCGATATCAATGCATCTTGTCTGCATCCACAAGACACTGAACTTCAAATCTTCCTTCTTAACTGATTTCTCTTACATCGGCTTCTGCCCATACGTAATATGAAACTGCACATAAGTATGTATACTCGGGTCCCTAACCTCCCTCTTTGCGAGCGCAAGAATAATCTGCAAGTCATCAGCATTCCCTCCTAGTACCTGCGTGTAACCCCTCAGCATGTACGCTTCAAAGCCTCCTTCTAATATCATAATCTGCTCTAACTTCCCAATCGTGCGCAACCTTTTTGACCGCGGCCACGGGCCCATGGGTAACTTATATACCTCATCTTGCACGTTAGTGTAGCCTGCGTCTTTCATTTGCGCGGCCCAAGATCGTGGTGCATCCAGTGGTGCGCCCATCTTCTCTGCGATTTCGAAGTACAGACGGCCTGATTCTACGTAGCCGCTGTTGGGCGGTATGGTGTTGTCGTCGGATAGGGCGCCAGGGATTGTGCTAGCTAGTTGGATCCAGCCACCTGGTTTGAGGTGCGCGTATGCTTGACTTATCAGGCGGGGCCAATCGCGCACAGCAGTCATGAGATCGCGACCATGGACGAAGTCAAAGTGGTTCGGTCGATACGGCCAGTCTTCTTCCACATCATCGATCTCGAAAACGCAGTTTGGTGGGACGAAAGGTGGTTGTGTAGCCGCGATGTCTACGCCGATGACTTCCGTGTTGGGATACTTGTCCGCCATGTCCATGGCCCATATCCCGGTACCGGTTCCTAGATCCAGGACCCGGCTGTTTGCATCGGCAAGGGTGTCTTCCGAAATGGGTGCAACATATAATCGATCTTTGAGTAGGAGAGTGTATTTGTGGTGTTGGAGGTCGTTGCGGTCCAATTCTTTTTCGTCTATTGGCATCCCATAGTCGTGTTTGCCATATGAAGGATACAGACGACCTTCTATCTCCACGCCGCGTCTGACTTCTGATAAGATAGATGAGAGAAAAGAAGATGCGTCCGAATCGGCGTAGCTGCACAACGTCAACAGGATGTTTGTTCATTATTCAGCCCAGCTCACCCTTCATCAGTTGAATATTCGCTAGTGTCATCTTGAGCTTCAAGTGCATGGTGCGCGTTGTTCTCTTGGTCAAATTCTGAAGACGAGCCGGCGTCAATTCCAGAGTCGAATGCAGAATTGTGCGCCGCGTTGGGTGGAGGGCTTCGTGCTTCGGGGTCTTCCTGATGCGACATTTCCAACCGATCTAATTGCGAAAAGGCAATTCCTTTGTCACTTAACGGGGCCAATGATGACTAGCTGGTGGAGTGGCTGATAGCAAGGGGGTTTACGATGTGGGCGCAACGTGGTAATGTCAAGGATTTAGGGTTCTGGACCTCGGCCGTGACCAATCGCCACCGGTTTCGGCTGCCGCTGCTGTTCGGCAAAGACTGGGCCGACGAGGGGCAGACGACTTGTGCCTTGATCAGGATCGAGGACTGGCGTTCTCCATCTCCCAATCATCGCAATCGTTTTCTAAACTCTATCATGGCGGCCGATTCCACTCCGAGCAAGGCTGCTCTTTCTCTCCTCGACAACATTGCGCAACTCAGCGATGGCTTCAAGAATGGGAGTCCTGGCGCGAGAGAAGGGTTGCTGGACGCGTGTAGGGAGCTCATCGCGGAAGTCAGCAATCCATCTGAGAATATGCTGCAATTGTTATGGGCGCAACCCGCACATCTGAGCACACTTTGGATGGGCGCGGAAGTGAAGCTGTTTCAGGCCATGAAAGATGTCCCGGAATCTGGTGCTACTGTTGGAGACATCGCGAAGAAGTGCGAAAAGAATGTTGATCCGATTATTGTTGGACGCATGCTTCGACATCTCGCTGCTATGGGCACAGTGCGCGAGACTGGTCCCGGTACCTTTGCAAACACTCCTACTTCTTCCGCATTCGCCGAACAATCGTATCAAGACTCAATAAAATATATCGCAGAGAACTTTGCGCCGGCGCATCAATCCATGAAGTCGTACTTTGATCAGCGTGACTGGAAATGCCCCGACTCTAGTCTCGATGCGCCATTCCAGCATGCCTACAACTGCAAGGGAACCCATTACTTTGAATTCTTCCAGAAAAACCCTGAAGTAGGACGGCGCTTCGCTAGTATGATGGACTCTTGGAGCAAGGGACGGCCGCGGTGGTTCTCCAAGGATTACTACCCTGTCGAAGATCGGCTGATCAGCGGTGCCGAGAAGGATGTACCGTTTCTCGTCGACGTCGGCGGCGGCTCTGGGCACGATATTGAAGGTCTGAGGGAGGCATTCTATGGCCAGATACCAGGTACACTGGTGCTACAGGACAGGCCGGAGATTGTTGAGCTTGCGAAACTTGGTCCTGGGACGGAGGCGATGGCACACGACTTCCTGACCGAGCAACCTGTGAAGGGTGCGCGGGCATATTATCTGCATTCTATCATCCAAGACTGGAATGATGAGGTAAATACTGAGATTCTCAAGGCAATCGTGCCAGCCATGAAAAAGGGGTACTCCAAGGTCCTTGTGAACGACTTTGTAGTCCCCAATCAAGGCGCGCATTGGGCGCAGAGTAAGTCTTCTGAGTTAACGATACGATATACGACTGACATGTAATAGCTTGTCTCGACTGGGAGCTCATGGTCAGTCTTGGAGCCCGACACAGAACGGAAGAGGAGCACCGGAAGATGTACGAATGTGCAGGCTTGAAGATGACAGGTATTTGGCGGCACCCGCATAGTCTTGACTCTCTTATCGAGCTTGAGCTTGCGTAGACTAGTTCTAGGTAGCAGTAATGTCGTAGCTTATTGCCTTTATTGTCGTTGCGCCCATCTCAGATGATCTCGATCTCTTGCTCTTTCCCTTCACCACGAAACATACGCGGGGGAAGTGAAAGTGCAACACCGCCGTCCTGGTTCCAATTTGACCACTCAAAATAAGTGCCAGTCCTTCGAAAGAGATGGTCCGACCCGAGAACTGGTGTCAACACTAAACAATAGTCATGTGTCTCTCCTCTATTGAGGTCTTCCCCAGTCACAGGGTCTATAAGCATCTTGATATGTCTCCTTATAAGAAAACAATGAAGGTTTTCTTCTTCCAGGGATGAATCTGGATAATAGAAACCGTACCGCTGAGTAGTATCTGATGGATCGTTCTTCGGATCTAATCGACGTTCATCCTCGTGATGCTGGACACACGCTGTCAGGCGACCTGAGAGGCGTATGGATGTATGGCTTCCGTAGCCAGAATGCTGCAAGGGGATTGCGAACCCGGTAACAGGGGGTAAAGAGATGATGGTTGCCCAAACAGAGTTGAACGGTCGGCATTCCGTGTCTGGAACATCAGCCATATCTGGAGCATAAGGGAAAGTGATAAGTAATCCACAATCAACCATGCTCGCCCATGACCATGAAGGAGCGATGTCAAGTCGTTTTCCCCAGGAGTAAAATCTGATCCACAGGAGCTCGTCAAGGAAGAACTCGAGCCATAATCCGAATGAGGATGTCGCATTGAATTTTCTCTGGATAATGGAAGCGACCCCGGCTAGTGCGAGCAACTTATCAGACTGGTACCGCAACTGCTTCCTAGAATAATCCTCCCTAATGATCCGCCAAATTTTATACCAATCGACCCATGTCCCAGGCTCCGAGATACTTTTGTTGCCTAACGATACCACTCCTTCGTACAGTTGCTTGGGGGATTGCCACCTACTTCCTTTGTGGTCTTTGGTTCCTCTACACCCTTCGAAGTCCGGATACCGATCACATACAGTTCCCTCGCGGCATATCCAGTGGATATCCTTGGGTCCGAAATAGATTGATCTCGGTGACAAAAACTGTTCTTGGAAGCACCAGCCGCGAGAGTCGAGATTGAACTTGCCAGGCACGTCGTTACCGAACTCGCAGTAGTCGGCACTGATATACCCCAGAGATTCTCCGCTTTCATCTATGAGATGACACTGAGTCCACCATAGTGGATCACGACGGACCAGAAATGGCTGCGTGGTATTCGCGGACGCTCCGGCACAGATTGTGAACAGCGCATTAGCATACACCTCATCCATGTGTGCCGCTTCTTGATGGAAATCTCCTCCAGGCCCTTGCATGATACACATTGCATCTATCCACAGGTACCGTATGGACATACCGCGACAGACTGTAGCAGCATCTCGTGCGACCGTGGATAGAGACTCAAACGGAATCCTCCTCCGGAGTTCTGATTGATTCTCTGATGTGAGTACTAGCTGGGGTACAGATCCCCAACAATAACTCAGTGCTGCGTATGATCCACGACCGATAGTGCTCCCAGCAACTAACCTGATGTCATTCGTGTCTTGTGTTCCAAGATCCAACAGTCTTGTTGGTGCAAATCGCGTTGGAATACTGCGGCACTTCCAGTGTTCCGTGTGACATATCTGCAGCCATCTCTTGATGAATGCAAGACTTTGTTCCGATCCCGTGAAGGCTGATAGCAACTCAGGTGAAACATCTCTCTTGCTTGTACCTCGTTTATGGTACTTCACTCTCACAGAGCTGACTAGTCCCGATGAGCTATCATCTTCTGAAAGTCCGAGGCAGATGTAGTCAGTTTCTAGCGGACTTGGTACGCTGTACTGTTCCGGGTCACCATCGATGGAGGAATGGTGGAAGTTTATCAACACGTCTATGAAAAGCGGGCCGTCAGCCCTATCATGATACTCGTCCAATTTCTCCACAACGTTTTCGACTGTTCTGAGCTGATACCAGTCGGCAACACCCCCAACAAAGACTGCGCAGAGATGACATCGTTGTTCCAGTATGCCGTCAATGAAAGCTTGCATATTCGGACAATGTTCGACCTGTAACTGATGCTTAACGCCTTTCTTAAGAACCGTCATCAGCTGCCTATTGAAATTCTCGCAATACTGGCATAGCCAGTAAGGTGTAGCGGGCTCTTCGATGCCGGCTGACATAATGTGTATCGAGTTGACGTGATCGGACTGGGATAATAAAATGAGACTGAACGTGGGAGTATGAAGGTGATAAGATTTGATGAGGTAGAGGCGACGATTGCCAACGTTGTTGAAGGCAGAAGTGATCAGGCTGAGGGAGGGCTGAGCTGACAAAAGCGGGGTCTATCCCGCATGCGGACATGCATCTTTGGTGCGCGAATGAGAAACCATGGTGGAAAAGCCTTGGGAGGCTATGCTCCTCCGTACATATCAAAAATAAACGTAGACAAGAGAAGGCTGAACACGTCGAATGAGAGCGAGCGAGTGTCGAGCAATTTCCAAACATCACTCCACATTCGTCGTGCTCGCCGACGAGACCCTCGTATCCCCCTTAAAATGCAACAACCTCACACACGCAACCATCTCCAACGTCCTTCCATCAGTATAATACTTAAGCGCCAAACAATGAGCCATCTCACAACCCCTCGGCACCCACCCCAAATTCTCCATAGCCGTAAGAATCGGACGATCAGCCTCCTTCCCACGATATTCCCGTAGCTTATCCAACGCTTCCTCAACCCCTGTCTCAAGTCCGCACCGTTCAACCAAAGACTCTACAAACATGGCGCAGAGCTGACATTGCGGTTGCTGGAGGACGCTGTTGATGAACATTTGCATGCTTGGGTAGTGCTCAATGAGGCGGTCGTGTTTGAGCGTCGTGGAGAAAAAAGGTCGCAGTTCCGTCAGGACCCGATCGCACCAGAAGCATAGTTGGTGAGGTATAACAAATGCAGCCTCGGTGTCAGCCGGCATCGTGGGTATACTTCAGGGCTGGGTTTACATGATGGGGCCTGGAAATAGCACAGGTGATCAGGCCTGGAGATGGCATAGGTGATGAAGTTTGAAGATGCATAGGTGGTCGGGTTCGAAGAGGCAGAGATAAACAGGCCCGAAGAGAAAGAAGTGACCAGGGTTGAAGAACGCTGCGCTGACACAAGTGGGGTATCCTCTGCATCTGGGCATGCGTCTCGAAGGTGTGGAAGGAGCGACCCTCCGAACCGACTCCGCTGCAGCACAAGAGAATAGAACACCAAACTTCAAAACCAATACAATAATTGTGAGACATCGTAATATCGGGGTATCATTTGAATCATAAACTAACTAATCTTTTTGACCTTACGTGGTCTTTTGCCGCTTCTTCGCCTTAGCCAGCGCTTGCGTTATCGCGGCAAGCTCTTCCTCGACCTGTGCATCGTCTTCACTTTCCTCATCATCCTCAGCTTCGCCGCCTTCCTCATCGTCGGACTCCTCTTCATCATCATCATCACCCAACTCCACGCCATCTTCATCGCTGAAGCCGCTAAAGTCATCGTCATCGTCGTCACTCTCGTCTTGCGTAGCACCGGTGGCGTCTGTCTTCGCAGCCACGCTTCCAGCAGCCTCGCTCTCACCACCGCGCTTCCTCTTCTTGCTCATCTCGCCCATCAGGCCTTCGCGCTTGGGGTTGATGGGTCCGCTCACATCGTCACCCTCCTTGTACGGTGGTGGAGTGAACCATGGAAGCTTGCCTCTTATCCAGTCGTTCAAAACCATCTTGGCAGCACCGTCAATGTCGGCTTCACCGCCCTTGAGCAGACGACCACTCTTCCTGCACAGTAGCTCCAAGAACGCGACGGCATCGTCATTGTAGTCGGATGCCTTGATGTCGTACGTTCGCTGGAGATGACGCGGTTGTACCCGCTTCAAAACCTCTTCAATGTACTGTGCCGGGTACTCGACGTTCTCGACACGAACACTACCGCGGAGCAGGAGGTCCTGATCGGTATCGTTCTGGTTTGGTGGGACGATACCAGGACAGTCGATCATGTAAATGCGCTTCATCAAAGTGATGTATTGCCAGACCTTGGTCTCACCAGCGATGGGCGCAACAACGCACACCTTCTTTTTCCGCAGAGTGTTGATGATGGACGATTTACCAGTGTTGGGATAACCGACCATGCCCACGGAGACTTGTTTACGGTCGCTGTGGAGAGAGCTGAACTGTCGGAGAAGGGCGATCAAGGAACCTTTACCGAAACTATTGTTAATGGAGGCGTGGAAAGCAAGTGTGGGGAACTCCTTGCTGAGGTGGCGTACCCAGGCGGCCTGTCAAGTGTCAGTGCTTGGCCATCAACTTGACATGATAATGTGCATCGATGATGGAATGTGCGAAATATTACTAAGAGTACCGCCATGAAGGGGCCTGCGAGTGCAGAGACGGTCCTCAACTCAAACAAATCACGCGTGACTCTATTGATCGGCAACCAAGACGGTTGCGATCGACCCGCAATCAAGACGATTTTAGGACAGCGAGCCACTTTTGATCTTCCCAACTTGTAACAGAACCGTATTCATAGAATAGGAGTAGGTCCTTGACTTAAGGAGGGTGTGTGGATGATGGAGGAGTGGAGTGTGTAGGGGAAGTGAACTTACAGCAACCTTAGAAGGAACAAGATCGACCTTGTTGAGGACGAAGACCAGATGTTTGTGAGGTGCCTCAGTACGAATGTACTTTTCGACGGAGCGGCAACGGGTTCCATCAGGATCACGGGCGTCCAGAACGTGTAGAATAACATCGGACGAGTCGATGACCTGAAGAATTGATTAGACGTGGCTCGATGGAAACATGGCTTAGGTCTTTACCTTGTACAGCTCGTTCCAGATACGCTTCGAAGTACCCTTCATGAAGATGAACTCGCGCGCGGATGTAAGCTCGCCATTGGGGTTGTCATTGAAAGACTCGTTGTCGTTGGTCTCTGCCTCTCCAGACGTGCCCGACAACAGCTTGGCCTGCTCAAGGCGCTCCACGTATGTCTCGTGCATGCTTCCTGTGCGACCAGCAAGATCCTCAATTGAGCTGAAATCAAGCTTCGGTCGTTTCCGTTGAGCTTTGGGGCCAAAGGTCTCTGAGAAAGGCTGACTGCCGACGGCAATCTTGGCAGCATGCTGCTTCAGGCCGGGGATCTGGCCTGGTGTCTCGATCAAGCTCATGGGGAGCTTGTTGCGCTTCATCAGGAAGGTGGTAGGGTCGGAGGCTTGCGCCTGTACGGCCGAGCGGAAGCTGTCCAAGGCATCTTGCGATATTACTCGCGTGTTGTTGAACCACTTCCTGTTGGGCTCGACACGGGCGACAGGCGCATCGCGGTTCTGGTAGACAGCAGCCTTGGTGATGTCTCCCTTGGCGTTGCGCTGAGCCTTGCCATCTGTGAGGCGCTTGAGAACCTTGACCTTCTTCGCATCGCTGGGAAGCTGTTAGTGAACGTGTGCTGGAAGAAGTTTGCTGGCGCAAAGAAAGGAAGGCGCAAGAACATACCGGTAGAAGTTGGTGCCCTTGACCTTGACATTGCCCATGCCATCGCCCGTCTTGCCCTCACGCTCCTTGCGGACCTTTTCTTTCTTCTGGACACCCATTGCGACTGCTTCCTGGAATTTGTCGAGTTGGGGGAAGAGTGAAGGGTACAAGTTGGCGAGCCAGACTTTTTTCCAGTAAGATCACGCTAGCCGCGGCTGGGGCACGCTAGTGAGTGGGACACAAGGGCCTTGGCACCGACAATTTCGAAGCAGGCGCGACGACACCACCGCAGCACCTCCGCATCCCAGTGCAAGAGGCAACACCGCTGCAATGCCGCCAAGGATACCTGTCGCCAATGGCTGGAGTAGCAGTCTATGTGTACGGTCCTTCTCGTCCACACCCACATCCCTCGCCCTCGGTCCGCAATCACCAAACTACATCGAGGTTCCGAAGCCGCTGCAGCCCACCTACCCGGCCAAGCCCACGGTAAAGGGACATCTGCCTATTCCCCGAGACATCTTCAAGACGAGGAACAAGCACCCAAAGGAGTCGGACATCTTCATCGGCAGGAGCACAAAGGAACCCAAGGAGGTCAAGGTTCCAGGACCATACAGCCGGGATGCCGACTACCGGTTATACAAGCAGCGACTGGCGGAAAAGAGGAGAGAGAACTTGAAGGAGGGTGTCAAGGAGCTGCACGAGCGCAAGGTCACATCAGAAGCACAGTACCTGGCCAAGATCCAGGCCATTGGCGCGAAGAGGCGGGAGCTGGCCACGGCCCCGCGTCGCGAAGTTGACATCTTGACCGAGACATCCGTAGCCAAGGGCATTCGCGACTTCCTCACCGACAGCCTTCCTCCCCGGCCAGACATCACCCAAGCCCGTAAAAAAGCATATGATCGCCGAGTAGCCAAGATACAAGAAGTCCGCGCATCTCGCCTCCACGATCTATACACCAACGCGCGCGAGTTCATCGTAGACGAGCAGCAATTGGACGAGGCCATAGAGGCGGCTTTTGGTACCGAAGATGCGCCTGTAGGCTGGGACCACAAGGGCATCATGGGCCCACGCGCGGAGGGCAAAGAGGGTCTCAGCCCGTGGCATGGACCCCTACCCGAGGGTGTGGGCGACATGCTCAACAAGCTCAGGGGAGGCGAAGGTGTTGGCCTTGCCAAGGAGCGCGTCAAGAAGGTGGCCGAAGAGCTCACTGGCGGCAAGATGTAGGGCCCGCACAGGGGCCGTGTATCAAATACTTATGTGTATACCAATGCTTGGAAGTTTTGAACGACATAATGAAATTGCGTGTGCGGTTCATTTACATTTGAAGTGAATGGCTTCCTCACTAACCGCTTGCAGTGCGAGTGTTCGTCAAAGTCGGTCAAGAAATCTAAGAAGAGTTTTGTTTGTGGATACAATCTACAAGGTCATTTCGCAATTTACGACAAACGCCTCATCCTGTCTTTGGTATTATGTCTCGCCCTTTGACGGTCTACTGATCGCTACTCTTATTCACGATCTATCTTTGAGCATGACTTGGTCAACTGGAAGCGGCCATTTCGAGTCCTCACCTGGAGTAAGATCTAGCAACTAATTCAAGCGTTTGCACAACTCTCACTTGTATCAAGAACTAATCAACACTAGCCTCACGGCGGTAATTGATCACGCTTCTACTCTCACTGCACCCTCTTCTCTTAGCAGCCCCCATTGACTGGATCCGCTCACTCACTACCTCAAATCCAACTTCACATCTTCTTCCACGATCGTCTACTCTACACCTCCAACCACTCTCACCAGTTCCCTCCCACTAGCAAAACTTCAGATCACCATGAATCGTTCCCTACTCTTTCCACTCCTCCTCCTCCTCCTCTCAGCCTTCGCCATCGCCAATCCCCTTCCAGATAATCCCAACGCCACTTCCACAGGATCCAGCACAAAGCATGATCCGCTCAACCAGAAGCCCGCCCACGAACGTCGCGGTATCGCCTACAACGACGTCAAATACGCCAAGTACTTCCAGTATGACCGCCACGACCACGTAACCTGGCGCTACAACTGGGATTCCTCGAGCCCGCCTTCTGATGCGTGGTTCCGATATATACCCATGCTGCACAGTCTGAGGGACGATCATACAAGCAAGTGGAAAGACAACGCGGAGGCGCAGGCGAGATTGAACTGGGTACAACAAGAGATGGCGACGTGGTTTTTGGGATTTAATGAACCAGATAACTGCATGTGAGTAAACTCAATTCATTCAATTGCCGAAAGTCTTGGTACACTGACGGTGGTCGCTATACTAATGATTGATCAGTCCTGATGCAGGCGGCTCCTGTATCGACGTCCCCACCGCCGTCGCCGGCTGGAAGAAACACATGCAACCCCTCTCAACCTTCAACAGCAAAATCTACCTCGGCTCACCAGGCGTCACAAACGCCGCGCCATCCGACACCCAGGGTCTCGGCTGGCTCAAGAAGTTCTTGGAGACGTGCGACGAATGTACCGTCGATTTCATCAACCTCCACTGGTAAGCCCCCTCGTCATCACATGCAAGCCTCAACGTGTCTTAACAACTCACCGGATACCGTAACATGAGGCTGACGATCAGATTTACAGGTACGGCTGGGCCCGCGACGCCCAAAACTTTAAAGACCATATCAACGACGCCCGCAAATTCGCCAACGGCCTTCCTATTTGGATAACCGAATTCCGCGCTGATGGCACTGACGATGAGGTCAAAGCATTTCTAGACGATGTGATGCCTTGGATGGATAATTCACAGGACATCCATCGGTACTGCTACTTCATGGCTCGACCAGGTCCAGGCATGTTGATCAATGAGGCGGAAGATGGGCTGAGTGATATCGGAAATGAGTACAACCTTTACCACGTACATCCTGGTTCGGATGTAAAAGGCGCAAATGGAGAGAGGTGGTGGGAACATGGTCGACCAGCTTAAGATGACGGGAATTGCTAGAGCGAGAAGGGGAACATCATACATCGAGACAAAAGGGTTTTTGTCAAGGTATCCGGAGTTCCAAAGAGATATTAACATGAATCGGTATATAGAGTTCTATCGTCATTAGTGTGGGTCATTAGTTACATATCTCATCTTTAGCTGCTTGGATCCCAAGGCTGTCCAATAGCCTTCCTGAAACCACCCTCAAACACATCAATCGTCTGATTCATATTCATTCCACTCGCAATGGCCAGCTGGAGCATGATCCTCGCTTGAATAGGATGCACAAACCCTGACTTCGCGAATGTGGGTGTTCGAGCCGGACTAGACGGTCCATGCGGACTGCGAGTTCCCACAACGATCTGAAGCCCGCTGTCCAACGCTTGAGTAATCTCTTCCTGGCCACTTGGTACGCCGCCGTTACCAGTACCCGCAATAACGACACCTTCAGCGCCGTTGGCTTGCGCGTCCAACACTAATTTGCCATCGAACTCGCGGGCTGCGTAGAGGATGTCGACCTTTGGAAGCGCAGGGTACGTAGGATGAGAAGACACGGTGCCGATATCGAAGTAGTACTTATACAACGGCTGGCTCGGCGTATTGAAGAAGATGGGCAGACTGTTGATAAACATGCCCAGATCCCCACCAGACGTAGGACCAAAAGCATCCGGGTTCGTCGAATGCAGCTTCGTGACCCAATATCCCGGTATGATGCGCGCATTGAAAGCCACCATTAGACCTCGGTTCTGCGACTCTGGGCTTGCAGCTAGCATCACGGCGTCGAAGAAGTTGGCTTCTCCGTCCCAAGAGAGATGGGTGAATGGACGCATGCTTCCGGTACCGACAATGGGCTTTCCGCAGTTTACGAGCGAGTCCATGAGGAAGGCTGTTTCTTCGAGAGAGTTGGTGCCGTGGGTGTATACTGCACCGACAATGTCACTGTCTTCTGAGCAGAGTGCATCGTGGGCGAAACGCGTCATGTTCATGACTAGAGCGTCATTTGTTCCTGTCGAGCCATCATCTTCTGTGGTCCAGTTCGAGACGGCCAGTTGCGTGTTGTTGAGAAGGTAGGGATTGCGGGCAATAATGTCCTCTCCTGTTTGGCTTAGCTGGCCGTATTGTGTGTCGTCAAGAGCACCGTATATTGAGCCTCCTGCAATGGTGCCTCCGGTGAATAGGACACTAGAATGCGTTAGGTGTGTAGACCACGTTCATCCGCAATACCTACAGAACTTTCGGCAAACTACTGTTACTGCCGAGCCATGTCAGACCAAGTCGCTCACTGGCAGTTGCTGCTTGACGTGGTTGGGACTGCGAAGCTGTCGGTGCCGCACTCGCGATAGCACCCAGAGTAGCAACCGCGATGTTAGAGAAGCGCATGGTGCCTGAACGATCAAGAGTCAACAGACCTGGTGCGCTGATATCTCCGATCAGGCATCAGATCTTATACTCCGTCCTACCATCCCACCCACCGTCGCTCAACTCCTCCGCTTACATCCCCGGCCATTAATCTACCATCTCGCCGGTTACGAGCCGTCATGTCGCGTATGACATCACGACATCGTGCATATCACTCTCTTGGCATCCAGTTTGTATGAGGAAGGTGTTGAGCTGAAGCTGCGAGTAACGATGAAGTTGTTTATCATTCCTGCGTTATCGTCGAAAGATGCGCGAAGCTAAGCTGCGAAGCCCCACGTTTGCCAAGAGCGGGGATAATAACTCTAACCACATTGTCGGAAACTACGTCCCGTCACGATATGGTGCATCGATATCTCACTGTGGTGTCATTGCGGCCTCGTAAGGAGATTTGGGCTTGGAAAATGGATGAGCATATGGGTAAGGGAGAGGACATGACGATGACGACATCGTTACCACGCTTACCGATAAGCCGCCATGCCGAGACGAGAAGACTTCGTGTGTTATTACACCACCGATGTCTGAATGAAAGCTGTGTCCCACGGCTTCGAAAAACCATTTGATTCACGCGTCGGAGAGATTCAGACTCGCTTCTCGCGACTGTTCAAGCTTCAATTCTCGCTTTCTTCACGGCGCAGGTGTGCACGCCCCTAACACTAATCTATCGCCCAACATACCTCAGCTCCAGCCACCTAGCCGGCGGGTAGCACACAATGGTCAGTCCCATAGCTACGGGAAGCCCCAAATCTGCTCCGTTTCCAACTAGCGCCGCAATAGGGCCTGTGAAGTATGTCTGATACATACACAACACAGCGCCTACCCATCCCACTATCATGGCAAACAAGGCCGCAAACCCGTGTGGCAACAGATCTTTGCGGTTCCAGATTTCCCAGTCAAAAACGCCTTTGCGAAAGATGTATTCATCTTGGACCGTCATGGTGATCCAGATAATGGTCCAGTACCCAATCAAACTCAGCCAGTTGATGAAGATATCGAAGAGTGAGTCGCGGCCTGCAATGGCGATGATGGTAAAGATTATGCAGGAGAAAGTACTCCAGATAGGTCTGGGAATCTTCGCAAATGGCGCACCAAGTTGCTGCCAGTTGAGTGCTGCAGCGTACGTACCCGGGATATTGTTCGCAGCAATGCACACAGCTAGAATCACGCAGCAGAAACTACCGAAACCATTTAGCGGGCGGTATGCCTCCACGACAAGCGCGCCGATACCATCCGAGTCGAAAGCTTCCTGCCACGTAGGATTCTTCAACAATCCAGAGCCGAGACCTATACCCAGGAACTCGATAAGCAGCTTCCCGCACGTGATACCGCAGGTTGTGGCAGCGAATGTGAACCACCGGTTTGTTGTCTTGGGATAGTACACGACGTAGTCAGCGGATGCGGATGACCAACTCAAGGGACCAGACGCGACGAGGAAGAAGTACGAGAGCCGGTTTCCGTGGAGGACGGCGCCGGATCCGGATGAGGCGAGGGTGGTGTCGAAATGTGGACCCGCGACGCCGATGAGGATGAAGAGGACGAGAACGGTGGGCGCCCAAACAAATCTTTACGCGTAATTAGCAAAACGTCTCCGTATTGCTTGCGAGAAGAACGTGAAACGAGTGGACGTACTGCTCAAACTTGTAAAACCACTTTATGCCAAAAGTAACCACGACCCAGGTTATGAGCGCAACGATGACGATACCAACGATGACAGACATGCCTCCGCCGTTCACCGCAGATAAGAGCAGGCCGCCCACCAAGCAATCGATGAGTCCGTAACCAATCTCGATACATAGGTTGAGTATAACGCAGAGTTTTGATGGCCACCAACCCATTGTGTACTTGGCTACGTTCAAGGTGCGCAGACCGGAGCGCGGCCCAAATGTGGATATGTAGCCAGTGCATACGGATCCGAAGATTGTGCCGAAGAGACAGAGTCTTTGGTGGTATTAGCTGTATGTTCGCATTCATGTTACAAGAAGAGACTCGAACGGCTGGCTGGACGTACATGAGCGAATCGGTGAGATCTAGATTGTAACTCACGGGCCCGAGGACACCCAAAGTAAGCTGATTTGCAGTGCAGTTCATGGAGAACCAGCTAAGTACACAGTTAGTCGCTGTGATGGCGTGGAGCGTTCATTGTGACAAGCTTACATGGTAAACATATGGATGTAGTCGCGATACGTTATAACTCGTTCGCGCAATTCTTCTGGTATCCGCTCGATACCGCGGGCTTCGACACCACAGACGGCATCTAGCTTGTTTGCAAATCTTTGAAGAGCATTGACGGGCTCGCTGATGCCGAGTTCAGGCTCGATTGTGTGGATTGTGGACGATGTTTCGCCCTTCTCAAGGGACTTTCTTTCGTCGGTCATTGTCTTTTATGTTGAAAGGAAGTACGACGCTATGAAAAAGTCTCGACAGCTGTAGCTGTCGGTTCAATCGGTAGCAGGCTACATTCTGTGTCTGCCGTCTTATAATGGTCATACGCTTCCAGCCCTATATCCCTCAATCTGTCATGGCTATCCCGAGAGTGGGGCAGCTAGATTAATCTAGAAACCTCCGGATCGACACCCTATCTGGACCAGACGAATGCTATCTTTACTATCTGTGAATGTGGATCCATAATCTGGCGTCAACAAGGGACATCCCATTCCCAACGTGTAGAGCCACAGACGATTGCAGACCACATAAGAGGAAATAAGAGGCTGGCGCAATACTATGTTGCGGGGAAGTGGCTTTGAGTATGTGCTGGCCAATGGGTATAGATATCGACAAAGACGGGCCTTTCCCCCACTCTTGACCTGGCTGCAAGGCGAGAGTGGGGGTTTGTTGCTAACGAAGCTACTCAAGCAGACGCGAAGGGTAATGTCGTCGCATAAGTCCGACAAATATGTTGACATGGTTGATTTGATCTTGTGGGAAGTGACCGAGCTTTACATTGCATGAAGTTGGGTCATCGTCTTCGCTACCTGCATTCCAAGGTAAGCTTGGAAGGGCTGAATAAGCCAAAACCACCATCTACGCTGATGATGCTTAAAACGTGTCAACATGCAAAAGTCATCTTGAACCAAGTGCAGTGCACGAAGCAATACTGGGAGTAATCTCAAGGGTCGATACATCGTGCTTCACACCAGTACCGCGAGTTCACATCCTAATGTACTTTTACTCTCAATCCCTTGGAGTCCTCAGGCATAACAGGGACAACAGTGTCACTTGTAATCACAAGGTCAGCAGCACTGGTCTCGAACAACTGCAGTTTCCCAACGTCGTCCTTGCCCTCAACCTCCTCGGTACCATACACCCTGAATAGCGCAGCCAGCGTGAGGTACAGTTCTGCATAGGCAAGATTGATGCCGAGACAAGCTCTACCACCCTTGCCGAATGATACTAGATAGCGATCGAGGCGGGGGTTATCAAGCCAGCGTTCGGGCTGGAAGTCGTGCGAATTCGGAAAGACGCGCTCGTCGTGGTGGACCAGGTTACTGGTCATACTAAGAGGTGTGCCAGGCGGGATGTGCCATTCACACTTGTTTCCAGCATCCTGGTAAACGAGAGTCTCGTCAGGACAGATGCGATGCAAGCGATGCGAGATGGCGTGGCTTAGACGCACGCCTTCTTGAACCACACCAGTGAGGAAGGGCAAGGATTCAAGTGTGATAAGGTTGAGTGGCTGTGAAGGATCGGGAATGGCGGCTTCCAGCTCGGCCTTGAGCTTGCGCAAAATTTCTGGAGTGGCGAGCACAAAGTACGTTGAGACGCCCAGCGCCCAGGCAGTGGTAATGGTTCCTGCCGCGACAACGACCTCACCCTCTTGCCAGAGACGATCTGTCGACTTGTCGTAGTCGGAAAGTTTACTATTGAGAATCTCATGAAAGATGGTGCGGCGTGTCTTGTCGTAGGAGTGCGTCTGGTGTGCGTGCTGGATTTCGGCGACCTGACGCTTGACGCTAGTCTGAAGCTGAGAGTACGCGCCCATTGCTGGACTCAGCTTGAGGAGCAGTGAGTCGGGAAGCTTCCTCAGCAAGTCCATCAACCATGTGAAGTGCTTCAAAACATGTCCAGCTTTCCCACCCTGCAGCATTGCATCCCGGAATGATGGATCAAAGTCTGGGGCCTCTAGACGATGTTCGCTTCTCCCAAACGCGTAGTCCTCGACGATGTCTACACCGGAGGATGTAAATCAGTAAACGATCTCTCAAAGTGAAGAATTTGCCCCACCATTGGTTAATGCTGCGTAAGCATCATCCAGCTTAAGGGGTAAACCAGAATCGGCAAATTGGCGTAGACGCTCTAGCAAGATGCTCATATTGCGGTCGACCAGCGGTTGCAGTGCTCGCACACTTTGCTTGGAGAAATATGGGGAAAGAGAAGCCCTGCGTACGCGGTGCTCATCGTGCTTGAGTGTGCCGATCAGGCTCTCATCAACGCCAAAGGACCGGGTTATCCAATCCCACTTGTCACGCTTGCGTCCACTGCCGGCATAAACCGTGTCGTAGAAGTCAGGGTCTGCAATATGTATCTCGTCCGGGTTGATGCGGACAATAGGACCTTCAAACCAATCAGTTCGATACGTCAGGGTTCAAACAAGAGCAAACACGTACCATATTCCTTGTGGAGTCGGCCTATTTTGAACGTATACTCGGGTTCGGCAACGACGTCGTACCAGAACTCGTACCAATAAGTCCATGCCGCGAGTTTCGGCCCGGGAAAGTGTGAGATCGGGCTCAAGAAGAGACGATACACGGTAACATAGCAGAAATAGAGGATGGAAACCACAAACACAGACACCAAAGTTATGGGTATGTCCATATTCGTGAGTGTAGAACTCAAAAGCGTCATATCTGCAAGTTCTTGGGATGTCAGGTGCGGAGAAGCAAGACGGGGATAGAAAAGAAGTCTAAAGTTGGGATACGTTGCTTCGATAAGGTTACAGCTCGGTTGGTCATTGATACAGCATCCCCCGTGGTGTCTGCGTCCGAGAAGGATTCACTGCTGCAGCAATGCAATGCATGCTGCATGTAAGACTACCCAGGTGTATGCAGGGGCTAGGGAACTACTGACACGCTAATGCAGTGAATATTTGCGTGCTTTGGTCCTACACAAGCGGGCTGAGTACAATGTAACAAGCTCGCTGGCCTAACGCTGATGGGAAGGTCTGTAGTCTTCATCCCCAGTACATAAGTGGGGATGTCATGATCACCAGAAGCATTCACTCGAGTCAGATATCAACAGCTCAGCTTTGCCTCCCCTACGAAAACTCGTCCAATACTATATTCCGTCCAATGACTCTAGAACGCGCAGATTTTGTGGGTCTTATCTGGCTCTCAACTCCATTTCTCCTATTATTCGGCTCCCGCATACAGCGGCAGCTCCGATGGCTCCTGTTGCTTCCATTTCTGGTTTTTTGTTTTACCATCGTGTCATTCGTTCCCGCCGGAACTGATGTAGCGAAGGACTATACATTTGGTACAGGTCAGGATGCATGATCAACCCCTGTCAGTCCTAGTCACTAATAGTACCACTATGTAGTTCTCTACGTCAGCTTGACGAATTTCAACTTGCTCGTTCTAGAAGATCCGTACGTGGAGCATATACGCATCCGGAAGAAGAGCAATGGAGAGAAGGCCATTCCAGTATACCACTCGCTTTCATCGCTACAGAAGGTTCGATGGTGTTTTAGTAATGCCTATTCCACTCGAGGAATTGGCTGGAGCTGGGGTACTGCGCATCTCCCACCAGCACCTCCAGCAGGATCATCTCAGTCGTCTTTCTTGATCCTATCACTGCGAAGAATTCTCCAGCAATACGTCATTCATGACATTGCAGGCGCGCTTCTCCTATGGTTGACGGACAGCGGAAGAACAAGTATACTCGACCTGCACTTTGTTCCGCGAATCCTGGCTACTGGCTGCTGGTGGGCGTCAACTATTCCGCCAATGGACATTATATATCATGTCATCTGTCTGTTCGGCGTCACATCTGGCCTTTTCTGGGATGTCATCGAAGAGGTACACCCACTCAAAGGGGCATGGGCCATGTGCTACACCCTGAACAATTTTTGGAACAGGACATGGCACCAGAATTTCCGCAGAGCATTGAAGACCCCGAGCCGCTATGTTGCGAGACACGTCGCATGCGCTCCCCAAGGATCATGGGCGAGTCGTCAGATCCAGTACCACATCGCTTTTGCCATCTCTGGGATCTACCATTGGGCAGCCGCAAAGATTGCCATCCGATCCGAGAATTTCACAAAAACGCTGGCTTTCTTTGCGATCATGCCAATAGTTATGTTACTAGAAGACCTTGCTATCTCCATCGCTCGAGAACAGCTTGGCTGGCGAAATCGACGATGGCGTGTCATCGGATACCTATGGACCTTTATCGTCCTGACTTCGCTTAGTGTGGGGTTCGTGGACGACTGCGTTAGGAATGGTCTTGTTACATCGTTTCCAGCTCTTCCATTCTCTCCTACATACGCCATGTTGAATCTATGGGTCCGCAGCGAGACTTAGTAATTTCTAGACAACATGGAATACCATCTTGAGGGAAGGCATTCGTGTAGAATTTCCCATTCTGCCTGTCTGGGAAGGGAAACTGGCACTACACATCCCTGGTACGTTAGGTGATTTTGTGCCCTCCGGGCATCAAAGTAGTGAAGACGCCATCAGCATCATATGCTTCTCGAACCCGCTTCAGAAACTCAACGTTCTCTTTCCCATAGCTTCGAACAGGATTTTGATCTTTTGCGGCATAGTTCATGTACTTGAAGGGATGATACAAGCCTCTCTCCTTAGCAGCCGAAACAGACTGCTCAAGGACAGCTTTGATACCGGCAATGACAGTTGGGTCATCAGATTCGCGAGACCATTCCCATCCAAAGGAACAAACTATGAAGTAAAGTAGATTAGCGTCATCTGAAGAAGGATGTATGGCAGGACTCACCAACTAAAGGCGCTTGGTCGTCATGAAGGCCCATGACATTCCCTCCACGTGTCGTTTGGGCTTTTAAGATATTCTGCGTTAGTGGCTGGATGCCCAGCATCGGTGCAAACCCCTGGTCATCTTGTAACCCATTGTCTAGCGCCTTCTGTACTTGCTCCACAAATATGTCCACCATGAGTGCTAACAGCCCTACATTGGCGGAAAAGGTTGCTGTTGTGAACCGGCTCCGCATACCGGCGGGTTCCGATTGATTGAGCTCATCTGCAAGGTCCGACACCGAAGTCACTCTCGCCGTGCTCATAATCTTTGCTGTACCATACGCTTCTACATTGTCTTTGAACTGGGTGAAGATTGGAGGTTCAACCCTTCCTAGCGCGTCGTACTGCCCTGCGGCCCAAGCAAAGTTGCCTTGCTTGTAGCCTAGGCCAGCAAATAGTGATACATGTGGGTCGGAGGGGGCGTCGTGTGCGAATTTGACAAAGCCGCGAGTGAGAGCCGAAGTCACTGATGGCAGCAATGGCCAGACATGTAACCCTCCCCACATTGGTCCCTGCTGGAATACGTCAAGATCAAAACGAGTGACAACGCCAAAGCTATTTCCCCCACCGCGCATAGCGAGATAGAGGTCCGCGTTTGACGACTCGGAAGCACTTGCGAGGCTGCCATTAGCAAGAACCACCTAGTGTGCTATCAGTCTGTGCCCGCTATCTAGTTTCCAGTTCCTTACCTCGTAGTTACGAACATTGTCACATGCCCAGCCGTGCATGCCTGAGAAATGGCTCAGCCCACCACCTAGCAGCAATCCACCAACACCAACCCCAGTGAGTCGGCCACCCACGACGGTCTTGTTGACTTTCTCAAGTTCCTTGTACACATCTCCCCATGTCGCGCCAGCGCCGACCTTGACTAATCCTTCGCTCTCATCTAATATGACATCGTTCAAACCCGCCATGTTGACCGTGATGCCCCTATCAATATTGCTCGCACCCTGGATATCTGAGTGACCCCCTCCGCGAACAGCGAAAGGGCAGCCACTTGTGCGTGAGACGGATACGACGGCTGCGATATCTTCGGCAGAACGGATATGGACGAGACACGCTGGCTGAGCGGACTGTTGTTGCTGTGCCCAAAAGAGAGATCTCACGGAGGTCTGATTAGCAACGATGGGAGCATGTCCGACATCAGACACATTAGTGCCGGTCATCTCGACCGAGAGTGTTTCCGAAAGGAGGATGCACTGCATGTGTTAGACCATAGTTACTGTTTGCTTGACATTTTTCTTCAACGTACGGCATCATGACAAGAACCGTAATCTGCTGTTATGCCTTTGCTGTTGCCGATAGAAGCGTAGATGGCATACAGCCAAGGTAGAGTTGTTGATTGCCACATCGCTGTATATTTGATGACGAAACACGAAAGTCTTGAATAGACAACCTTGAGACTTGGAGCTTTTGGTGGGCATAAGACGTTCTCGACTTCGTTGTATGTCAGGCCACCCATCGGCTTGTAGAGACCGACTCATGTGAAGCTAAGTCGGATAAGTCTTAGCTGTACCGTTCGGCTGTAGATACGAAAAAATCAAGATTGTTGGGGAGTTACTCAGTCCTGTATCTAACGTATCTGTGCCGCACCCTTGACTCCACAACACGCACGTACGGCGATCCTTCATGTGGGAGCAAGGGTACCTGGGTACATGAACAAGATACTTAACACTTTCCGCGAAAGCATAAGGCCGGTGGGCTAAGGCAAAACTACAACAAGAAGTAATGAATACGTAGGATTCGTCTCCCGTTTGTGCTAGCAACTAGTGTCCTTGCAGCTAAGCGACCCACAGCGGCACAAGACGGCTGTGGCTAGCGGGAGAGTAAGGCCCCCGAGCGATCATTTGCTAGTGCCTACTTCACCAATCCTCGCGATGCCTTTGACGCTGAGCTTTGCGAGACACAAGCGAAGCATTGGGTTCGCCTCGCCCGTCTGCTGCTCAAGCCGGTCGATTTCTATTTCCAAATCGCGTTCCATATCCGTCAGGCAAGCAATCGTCTTCTCAAATGCTCCGATTTTCTTCAGGCAAGTCGTCAAATGTTGCTTGCTCTCTTTCGATAGAGGATGTGCGTCCACGGTGGCGATCGTAGGGCGTTGCCGGAACACACCTAGGAAGTGCCCACGGTACTCCGGAAAATTTTCCAAGCAGTATACAACTGGATACGAGAATTTTCCTTCGTCTAGATCCTCACAGAGACCTTTTTGTGCCGTGTAATCCTGGAAGTTCATGTAGTCATCCCGAATCTGGAAGAAGCGGCCGAACAGCAGTGTCAATCTGTGAAAGTCTAACTGCGGCGTCACCTCGCTCTCCGCTTGCATGAGTCGTATTAACATGCGAAACATGCCACCGGTCTTATGATCGACCATGTTGACGTACTCAGCCTCACTTGGGCATGCGAGGTTGTGTTTCCAGTACAGGTCCCAGCTTTGACCTAGATACAGGCCCTCAAGTTCTTCAAGGACCGCAACAAGAGCAGCTGGACTCAAGCTCTGTGCGACGTCCTGTACAGCGCGAACGAACATGAAATTAGCGCTGTTGATTGACTGGGCCTGCCCAAACAGGATATGTGTCGATGGATAGCCTCTTCGAAGCGGGGAATTATCCTCGAGATCATCGAGAATGAGAGAAGCGTTATGCAGTGAATTGATCACTGACATGATGGCCTTGATCCGATCAGATGGCACATGAAGCCATATGTTAAGAGCCTCGATGAGTGTGGCCCGGACGCCTTTCGAAGGCATGCTTGAAACATACTTTGATGGCGCCTCCAGTGCCAATTCTGAAGGCTTGTAGAAAGGGAAATTGGAGACCTCAGAGAGGCCAGACTCACTTGCGCTGGATTCCAAGTCAAAGACGGGAGAGTCTTTCCTTTTCTTCAATGGAGCTTCCTGTTTGATGACCACAGCACCATGCGACAGCTTTCTTTTGACACCATTGGCGATAGGTGTATCAGCGTGCTTCCATGCATTCTGTCTCGGGCACGCCGAGCACCAGTAGTGATTCCCCGAAACAGCTAAGCCAGCGCAGTCAATCCAACGTTTCAGTTTCAAGGATATGTCGGGACAGGCCTTGTAGAGTTTATCACGGCGCTCACAAAAGTCACGCTCAGCCGTGATGATTTTGCGCTTGACTTCATCTTTTGCGTCGTCGATCGAAAGTCCCTTCGTCCTGATGAACAAGTCCACAGCGCTTACAATCCTCTTCGACTGACCGGACTGCAGTTCTCTATACTCCCGTTCCCAGCTGAAATAGTCATTTGCTAGAAGAAGTCCTTCAGTGGCTGCGTCGATGATGGGCTGTACAAGTGCTTCCTCGGCTTCTGAGATAGACATCCCAAGGCTGAATTGAAGCATTGGCCAGAATACTCTGGCAAAGATGAGCTAAGGTTTGGGAACTAAGTGATTGCATCACTTACAGCATTCCGCCGTTCTCGCTCCGATACTTCAGGTATTCTTCCATAGTTTGGGCTTCCTTGTCGCTGTTTCTTTCGCTGATCGCGAGCCAGACGTCGCGGAACGCAGCAAGCATCTTCAGACCCAATTCACGGTCAAGACTGACGCATTCAAGAATGCACTGCGAAACAAGTTTCTTGGTCTTCATCGCTCTTGAATCTGGAGTCATGGTGCTGACATCGTCGGGATCCAAGGCGGCATAAAGATCGCCGTGCTCAACTTGCGCATCTTCGATACTGAGACCCTCGCCGCCGTCTATATTCTCGTTAGAAGCGCTATTAGATCAGCAGGATGATTTGGTTACCGTCATGAATCAATCCCAAATCCGACAGGTATGCTAAGACACCCAATCTCTCCGGAATGGCCTCGGGATAAATCAAGGATGACCAATTCCCCACTGGCGAGAAAGAGAAATAGGTGTGTTGTTCTCGCCCATCTCCCATCTCTCTAGCCCAGTCCTTGACAAACTGACGACTTGCTGCATCAGCTAGATCATTTCGAGAATGGACACGAATGGGAAGTGTCGTGAAGCATCCGGTTCGTCGGGATTCATCAAAAGAAACCAGCTTGGACTGATATGAGAGCGACCCCATTTTACGATATGTTTCGTGATGAAAGATTATCGTAACACAAAATAAGGGTTTATTGGAAATCCACACTTTCTCGCTCACGAAGAACTTGATAACAGCATTTGTACATGTTGTCATTGAACATACACGGCACGTGACTTTCGTTTCACTTCTATTCAATTGGTTGCCACAGTCCCAATCTAGCGGCGACAACGAGTCAAGCAAAGAGCTTTGTGAGTCGGAGGATGTCCTTCTTTCGTCTACTTAATTGTGGGAACCCTATGGACGGCCTTGGAATCTAGCCACCGGCTATTCGCGTCATTCCTTCCAGCTTATCAACGTTACCCTTACATCCATACGATAGATACGTCTCCGACAGAATCAGGGTAACACTTGAGTCCAGATGCCGCGCACGCTATCATCCTGAGCGGCACGTATCAGTGAGTACGCCCCAACCGTCTGGACCAGCCGCGTAAGAAGTGCTTCCTTCTGCAGCGCGTGCATTC